TTTTTCTAGATTTAAATCATCCAAATAGCTGACTTAATTATTAATCTAGATTGCAACAATCATAATAATTATCATTTATGAGGATAATTTGAAATCAAAATAATTTCCATAACGATTATTTGTCTTGATGTTAATTATCCAAAATTAATTAATTCAATTATTAATCTAGATTTTTAATAAAAATCATAATAATTATTAATTAATTTCTTAGGATGATTTAAAATCAAAATAATCCCATAATAACTATCATACTAGTCGCTGAAGACATAATAGCTATTATGCTCATGCAATCATACAAGTTATGCAACAATATGGCACCACCTATTCTATATGGCATGTTATCGCAATAAAGCATGTTATCAATCATATAATTTATACCAATCAATAAAAGCATTAAATAATAAATCATAATTACTTTAATCCATGACATTCCTATTTTAAAGAAAATAAAAAAAAATGTTACAACTTTGGAATTCAAATTTCGCCTAGCCCATAGTATTTGTCACAAGCCCCTTTAGGGTTTCCATGGGCCCAAAGCCTAAAGACCCAATCCTTTGGCGAGAAACCCTAGGACGCGAAAGAGGAACTCTAGCCGTCAGGTCTGCCGTGCCGTCACCCGAAGTCAAATCAGACTGAAACTCCAGGGGAAGGACCGCCACGTACAGAAGAGTGCACCGCCGCCGGTACCACCCAAAAAGGTGGCCGGACGCTCCCTCACTCTCCCATTCTTTGCCGGAGAGTGGAGGCCACTCTCAGACGCTTGTGGAGGAGCGTGGAACCTCCGATGGCGGTGATCCACCCGCCGTTGCGTTCGTCTTTCCGTCCTCTTTCCAACCATATATAGATCGCCCCATTCCGAGATCGTTAAGTCCTCGAAAAGTCTCCAACAGTGCTGACTGCGCATCTTCCTCGCGATTTCTCGATCTTGAACTTTTACAAAATATTGAAAAAATACAGAGAAATTCCAAAAATAAACAAAAACAGCAAAGATGAAACCTAATCATATGGGATTAGCCTCCTTGTTACAAATCGAGAAATACACGAGAGACCCTAATCATGGATTAAAGCATTTTTACCTATTAAAATTTAAACTTTTATGAAAATGAATTATAAAATACACATGCTAGATTCATACCATAATCCTAGAACCCTAGGTGCCACATTTCAAGAAGCAAAACTAATTACATGAATAGTGAAACTAGATTCACATACCAATGTACAACCAAGGCTCTGATACCAATTGTAGGAAATCTTAGATTTATGCGGAAGCGGTTTAGGACCTAGTACATTGGTATGCTTACCGAATCATCCTTGTTTCACAATTACCTCTCGGTGCGCAGGTCTCGTGTAGAATCTTCCCTTGTAGGATTTCTCTTCACGAACAGCTCACCTCAGCGCCGCAGCACGAACAACCTCCTTGAAGCTGGACTGTGGCAGATCTTCCAAACTATCTCTCGAGGAGGAAGGGGAAGTGTGTGGGCACTCGTTCAGATGATGAACGTCTGCCTCTTTGATTTGTTTCTGATGATCTGTTCACCTTGGAGGCACAAGAGGAGAAAACTATGAATATATACGCTTAGGTCTTAGACATAACTCAACCCTAAGCCTCATGGGCTCAAGTGTCACTGAAGCCCAATAGGACTTTAGTGACCAAAAGAGCATATATCCAACAGCGTGTTGGCCTTTTCTCGCCTTCAAAAACTACACTACGTCGACCTTCCATTTTACTACCATTATAATATAAAACAATACAAACAGAATCAGAATGTGAACTCGTTCTTAACTATATTAACAAAAAACACAAAACAGAGTATGCATAAGCAAGTGAGATTGCATCAAAGAGTAAGAGTTTATGATGTAGAAGAGTTGTGTAGAATGTAGAGATGATAGGTGTTTAAATAAGGAAGAAGTATGCCAATCACGCCCAAAAAAAGCAAGATAGTGGTGTGAGTCACGCCCAAATTAGACTGGATAACCAAGGTATTCATGCCTGCATGGGGCGTGACTAATTATGCCTAATTTGAGCGTGAATTATGTGGCATTCACGCCTGCTTTGAGCGTGAATTGTCTTGCCTAATTTGAACGTGAATGAGTGCTACATACTCGTAATTAGTTTCAAAACAGTAATATATCCGTAATTATTTATTAAAATAACAATATTTTAATTTTTTTTACCTAAATCCATAACAATATTTTAATTAGCATTGAGTTTACTAATCATCTTCCTGTTACTATATTCTATTATTAAAATGTATATGGTAGCTAATTTACAATTGAAGATGAAGTTCAAAACTCCAACATTCATTTTGTTCACAAATACCCCGTGCAAAGCGTTGGTATTACAACTAGTGATTACATAGACACCAATCTCAAGCATTTACGGAAAACTAATAAGTGAACGAAAGGGTATGTGAGAAAGTTTTTTCTGAAAGTAACCAAGAATCTTTCAGGAAAATTTGAAAAACACTTGTAGTAGTCACACGACAATTGCGTTGGAACAAATGAGATTGCTAAACAATTCAATTCTTGACAACGCTCACGTAAGGGCAAAACATACTTAATGGTAAAGTGTTAAACAAAATAGTGTGTCAAAACATACATTGATAACATTTTTCATATTAGTAAAATCCTAATTTGGTATAATATTCTTGAGATTCTTCATTAGTCTATACCTAAGCTACAAACTTGTCATTTAGTTGGATTCTTGGAGAGACCAAACCAACATAATATATATATATATATATATATATATATATATATATATATATATATATATATATATATATAATATACCATGGCCGGCTTGGCTTCTTCTCAATCATGCATGTTTGTTACAACTAACCCTAATTAAAGTTCCCAAGTGACGCCCCACTTCCACGTGCGTTAAGTATTTGCTAAAATTAATGATGCTCTCATATTGAGCACCAAAAGCATGGACAAAATTTAATGTATCAATAAAAGTTTACATAAATGATTTTTTAAGATAATTTTTTTTAATAATGATACTTATTTTAAAATATATAATTTGTGTTTGGATAGGGTCAATTATGCTTTGTTTTCTTTTTCTGAATCCATGTGGGACACAGATGTTAAATTCATGGGTACCCAAGAAAAAATGTTTGGTTTACTATGTTTTCGTGCATATCATGTGGGCAGGTTTGCTTGAACTATAGTGGAAGAATGCTTCATCTTCAACGAACGGAGAGAAAAAAAGGTTGCTTTAAGTTTTACTCTAATTAGAGACATAAAAATGGAAGGAAACAACATACACGGTGTGTCACTGCGACAAAAGAGACATGGAGTCAAATACAATAATACCCCTTAAGTGGTGAAAGGCATAGCCCACAAAAAGTCACCAACCCTGTTAACATGCTGAGATTTTCAGGTTCCTATAAAAGTGTGACAAAATTGGGTTCGTATTCTATAGATGGGCCCAAAAAAAAAAGCATAAAGTGAAATAGAAGAGAAGGAGAAAGAAAAAAAAAACTATTTAATCAAATGATTTCTTAAGGAAATTTGTGAAAGCGAAATGGAGATCTTATCCAATTAAGAAACATTAGAATTGGGATGTTAATTTTTGCATAATCTTATGTCAATTGCGTGCTTATCAAAGTTATATTTGCAGCAAAGTCAACATTTTCGTTTAATCCATTTGAGGTTCATCCCCTTTTGGCGGCTAAACAGTGAAGTTAGTAAACTAAAACCCATGCTTGGATGTCCCAAACCCGGACAGTTATCAAAATGTTTATCTTCATACAATTAATGTTTGTAAGCTTATTAAAAGCAGTAAATGGTATGTCCTAAACAAAGTAACCTCTATAAATTAACTTTATAGTTTTTAACATAAGTATTTCATTAATTCTCCAGAACGGATATTGTAAACTAAAATGACACGGTTCCACCTTGCAAGAGAGCTCTGAGCTGGGACTAAATCATTCCTAATCATAAAACATGTTTAATACGCGTATCTTGTAGTCATGTACGTTATTCTATCCTGATAAAGTTCTAAAATGAAAACTTTAACAAAGGAGCATTGTTGTTAAAATCTCAATTTATCACTATAATTTTATGTTTTTACGATTTTTTTTCCCATCAAAACGATTTTACTAATATTCCAAACGCTTTTACGTTTTTATGATTTTTTTCGATTTTTTTACTTTACGATTTTACGTTTTATGATTTTTTGAATCCCTTCTGATTTTACTTAATATCTCAATTTTAACAACATTGCAAAGGAGAATAAAAGTAAGTTATGATAAAAGGAAAATTGTTTTTCTACTAAAAAAAGAAGTAAATTTCTTTAATTGCTAAATTTGAATTGGATATGTACCAAATGAAAGAGTGATCCTCAAATAATTGATTGGTTCAACGAATATTTTAGGCGAAGTTGTATTTTAGCCAATATTTTAAAACAATCGTGGATGATCATCATATATTATTCACAACCAAGTCCACAACAACCCTTGCCAATTGGCAGCCTCACCAACTTAATGAAATCAGTGCCAACCAATTCATACAAAGTCAAGAAAATGCCAATAATAATAATTACAAAATATTATGCTTAGAAAATTTCAATTATTGTTTTTTTCCCATTTTTGTTTCCAACCGAAAACTCAATGCTGTTAAAACTTGAATAAACGGCAGCTGTATACTTTTAATTACGCACACAACAATATCAAGATTTCAACCGTATCATACAATCAACAGATATAATACCAAAAGATTAGAAGTACATCATAATTCCGTGTGCATAAATATCAATGATTTTTGTCAGACACATAAAATTAAGAAGAAGAAAAAAATCAAAGAAGCAAAACGCAGTCAAAAACCACGTGTTGTATTTTATTGATGGGCTAGCCAGCAGACCCATGTTTCATTGTTTGAACAAGACTTTGAGTTTTACCCGTACAAACCAGAAACCCAAGTTGTTTAAGAATATATATAATATAAATCTAATTTTTTTTTTTTTTTTTAATTATTATCTGTTCCGTTATCTTTAATGAAAAGTCATCATCTTCTTCCATCTTCCTTCACTTCCATTCCACCCTTCAACACCAATCACCAATTGACTATTGCGTATTAACAACAAGCATGGCGATTTCTCCTCAATCGTTCTCACCTAGAAAACGACGACCCTCGGCGGGGTCGTTTATCTCTCCGAAGCTGAACGACATCAACCTCCTTAACTCTCTGCTCCACCTCACCCACCAGATATGTTCCCCAAACGACACCACCACCCACTTCCTCCTCAACCGCACTTCCTCCTCCACAATCCGCAAAACGCAGCTCCTCGGCGTCGTTTTGGAAGACCTTCTTCGCGTTTCGTCTTCCTCTTCCACTTCCACCCCTCTAAGCTCCTACTCTCTCATCCTCTGCCTCGAGGAAATGTACATCGTGCTGCACAGGATCAAAACCCTCGTTGAAGATTGCTCCAAAGGAAGCAAATTCTCCACGCTCATGCAAATCGAAACCATCGCCGACACCTTCTACAAGCTCACCGGAGAATTATCTACGCTTCTGGATATCTTCCCCGTTCATGAGCTCCACCTCAACGACGACGTTCGGGAACTGGTTCTCCTTATCAGAAAACAGTGCTCCGAATCCAAGCCTCTCCTGGGAAAGGAAGAAATTGAGCTCAGAAACGATGTCGTTTCGGTGCTCGAGCGGATCAAGAAGGAGATTGTTCCTGATCAGGCAAACCTAGCTTCGATTTTCGAGAAATTGGAGATTCGCGATTCTTCGAGTTGCAGAGCGGAGATTGAGAATTTAGAAGAAGAAATTCAGAATCAGAGCGACGAACAATCGAAAGCTGAGATCGTGGCTTTGATCGGGCTCGTTCGATACGCCAAGTGTGTTCTCTTCGGTGCATCTACACCTTCGCCGCGAAGTGAGAGTCTGCGGCGGAAACAGTCGTTGGAGGTGGTGGTTCCGACGGATTATCGATGCCCTATTAGTTTGGACCTGATGCGGGACCCAGTCGTCGTGGCAACAGGACAGACGTACGATCGGGTATCCATCAAGCTCTGGATGGATTCAGGACACAACACGTGTCCCAAAACAGGTCAAAGCCTGGCCCACACAGATCTCATCCCTAACCACGCGCTCAGGAACATGATAGCATTGTGGTGCCGCGAGCAGAGAATACCGTTCGAAGCGGAAACCGTTTCAGGAAAACTCAACGGCGGCGTAACCAACAAAGCTGCATTAGAAGCCACACGAATGACGGCGTCGTTTTTAGTCAACAAGCTCAAGGTCCCTTTAGCTGTTTCTATTTCCTTTTCTGACTCTAATTCTCAATTCATGGAGGACTCAAACGCCGTCGTTTACGAGCTTCGGGTTCTGGCAAAAACAGACTCGGACAGCCGTGCCTGCATCGCCGAAGCAGGAGCTATTCCGCTTCTGGTTCGGTACCTAAGCTACGACGTTGGTTTGCACCATCCGAGTCTCCAGGTTAACGCCGTCACGACGATCCTCAACCTTTCTATTCTCGAAGCAAACAAGACGAGGATAATGGAAACTGACGGCGCCTTAAACGGCGTCGCGGAGGTGCTTCGCTCCGGCGCCACGTGGGAGGCGAAGGCGAACGCGGCGGCGACGGTGTTCAGTTTATCAGGTGTGCCGGCGTACAGGAAAAGGCTCGGGAAGAAGACACGTGTCGTCAGCGGGTTGATCGAGCTGGCGAAGTGTGGGCCCGACGGTGCTAAGAGGGACGCTTTGGTTGCAATACTGAACCTCGCGGCGGATAGGGAAACCGTGGCGAGGTTGGTGGAGGGTGGCGCGGTGGAGATGACGGCGGAGGTCATGGCGGCGATGCCGGAGGAGGGGGTGACGATTCTTGAGGCGGTGGTGAAGCGTGGCGGGTTGGTGGCGGTGGCTGCGGCGTACTCTGGGATCAAGAAATTGGGGACGGTCTTGAGGGAGGGTACGGAGAGGGCGAGAGAGAGTGCGGCGGCGACGCTTGTGACGATGTGTAGGAAGGGGGGTTCGGAGATTGTGGCGGAGCTGGCGGCGATTCCGGGGGTGGAGAGGGTGATTTGGGAGTTGATGGCGGTGGGAAGTGTGAGAGGGAGAAGGAAGGCGGCGACGCTGTTGAGGATTCTGCGGCGGTGGGCGGCGGGTTTGGACGGTACAGAGACTGAAGGATTCTCAACTACCATGATCAGTTCGACAACTACAACTGTTGTTCCAACTTCCACTTCGTTCGCACAGTAACACTTGTCTAATTTTCAATTCAAAATTTGTAAATTTCTCAAAATTTGTTGTATCATTGTTTCTTTCTTTTCTTTGATTTTGACATTCCTGTAAAATGTAATCACCGAGCAGGGTTTTTTTTTTTTTTTAAGAAAAAGAATTATATATTATTTTTTTTCCATTCTTTCAATCGTTTGTGTTTGGAAATTGTGAATGGTAAAATTGAGTTGCTGAATAGAGTATCGTTTCATGTTGTGATAGTTGAATTTTCATGGCTTTTTAATTGAAACTTGGACTGTAATAAATAGCAATGCAAACTTTGAGCTCTGTGATTGACTCATTGTCCACTATATTGCACTTCTTGGTTTGTTTGTCCTGAAAGAGACGGCGTAGGCATTATTCAAAAACTTTGTGAAATGGGTTTTATTTTTACAGTTGAATCAATTTTGTTGAAATGGAATCTTATCAAAATATGACGTGCTTTGAACACTGCTTCAATAGATGAAAATGGAAGATAACTTCAGAGGAGAGGTTTTTGGGGTGGTGGGAAATAAGATGCTTCATGCTTGGTCTTGCATGTATGTGTGACCTATTCCTTCCGTAAACTTGAAATACTCTTGATGTTGTTGTTGGAACATCCTGCATTTCAACTCGAGAAGTATCATGTCGTGCGGCGTCATTTGATGGAAATTATCAAAACAACCATGTCAAGATCCATGCTTTAGGATCAAAGTCAACTAAATTTAACTACTATCTTGGAGTCAACTTAATTATTTTTTAATTCTCTGTTTAGGCTTATATTAATCTTGTAAAGCCCAACATCTAGTGCTCAATGTATGACTTCAGAACTCCATGGGCCTCAAATATTAGATAATTGGGCTTATCTTTCCCTTCTTTATCCAAGGACAAGTCTTCTTGCATGTGCAACACTTTGAGAGAACGAAATGATATTCATTTTCAGGGTTAGATTATTTTTTCTTGAAAATATTTCATCGATTCATCGCTTCGCGACTAGTCCGATTCGGGGCGGGTCCAGAATTAAGGCTTTAAACCCCTCCCAAAGATGGTACTGAGGAGGTTCAAACACATACTCTCACCTCCACCTGTATTATTCATTCAAATATTATTAGACAGTCCATTAATTAGGATATTTTCTTGACAAACTTATTAATAAGGGGTTCAATACTTTCTAATATAGTATCAATTTTCTATTTCTCTTCTCCCTTTTCGGGTTTCGTAGTGAAAACTTCTTATGGAGGCATTTGGTAGAGATTTTCTTTTTCTTTTTCTTTTTTGGTATCCTGGAGAGGGAGGAACCCCCAATAGGCTAAGATGAAACAATTACAGGATTTAAGTGGTCTATCTACACCACCTAAATCAGCTAAATACAAAAAATAAATACTAAAGGGGATTCAAGAAATAACAAAGGTCCTCTAGTCGGGAGATTAGACAATCAATCTGCACAACAATTCCCTTCTCTATACGTGTGATTAATCTTCACCACCCAATCTCTCTCCATCCATGCCCGAATGTGAGTAACAAGGTGAGACTCGTAGGTTGGCTTACCCCTAGCAGTAAGTCATGTGACAGGAAGAAATTTTTTCACTCAAAAATCATGATTCGCAAGAATATGGTGAAAAAGTGAATTCCCCATAATGTTATAAAAAAACTGTTTGCTAGACTAAGATATTTTTAGTAATGTTGGGTTAATTTTCCTTATGCTACATTTGGTTGATTGTAAAATATTGTTGGGAATGTGGTCATTTTATAAAACTAACCCCAAATTATTGCCTTCTCCTTTCTCTCATTTGCTATCTCCTAACCCCCAAATTCCTCTTCCTAGTACATCTTCAGTCACAAAACATCACATACTTATAAAAATAATCAACCAAGAAATGAAAAATCGAATAACAAAACACACACACGCAGACAGAAAACTAGCAGCTTCAACTATATGTATATGCTGGGAATCATAGACACATTATTTGGAGTGAAAAATGCGTGTTAGACACCGACACGCTCTGACACATTCCGACATGTGATCAACAGTTTTCGACATGTTATTTTTTTTCAGATCCAAAATTTATTTTATTTTATCTTTTTAACTAAATATGAAAAATTAATTTATAAATCAAATATTTTCTGTAATGGGATTTGACTTGAAAAATTAACAAGGCATGAAAAATTATTTTTGCTTTATATTTATGTATGAAATTTGAATATTTGATTGGTTATATAACTTATTATGGGTTGCTATAACTATATTATATATATTAAAAATATTATTTAATATTAAAATGTGTCGAAATTTAATATTTTTAGAATTAACATGTCGGCGTATCGTGTCATGTTCTGTGCAAAATAGTGTATATGAGAGTTGAACATGATGTTCAAACATCAATAAATTAAAGTCTTCTCGCAAGTGCAAAAAAGAGAGCAAATTACAGTTCTCTTTGGACTTCGATCTTCCTTACACGCACGCACCAACTGTAATTAACACAAATTAATAAACAAATCATTCATTTTTCAAGTTGGTGTTGATATATGCCCCAAGCGGAGTTCTAGATCAAGCTCCTCATGCTGATGTCACGGTTGGTGGAAGAGTTCGTTGATTCATCCATTTTGCTAGAGCAAAAAGAAAAATCATTGATCCATGTAGCTGAAGAAAATGATCGAGCCATATCAAAGGAAGGTGAATAGGGACGAATGGGGACAAAGAGACAAGGGCAAACTTTATCCGAAAAATTGATAAATTTTCCCACCACGTGGGATTTGTAAAATACCACATGTTCGATGGTATGTTAGGTTGGGATCGATGTTATTAAACTCGTCCCGGTCATTAAACCGGTCGAGGTACTGGGTCACTAGTTCAACTAGTGGGTCATTAGTTGAACTGCATGACCCGATAAGTATATGTAAATTTATAAATTATATTAAAAAAATTATAAACATTCTTAAATACATATAAAAAAATATCAATTCTAAAAGTTATAATATGATAAATAATAAATCATTAATTTATTTAAATGATGCCCAGCCTCTAACAATATTTTTCTTTCTTCATGATTTATTTTTTATGTTTTAGCACATACACTTATGGCTCTTTGTTTTGGGCTAAGCTAATTAGCCCACTTATTAAAGCCTGCAAAATTGAAATCTGGCCAAAAAAAAGTGACAAACAAAATCAGTTTTTATTGTTCTAAAAAAAATCACTTTTTAATTTTGAACTACCTAGAGCCCTTTCCAAATCTCTCAATCAATTTTTACTCTGCATACTTTCTTGAAACTCATATACCTGCATATTTTTTTTTCTCTCTCGTGACTTGTATTTTCATATTCATTTTACGTACTTTACCTTTTCCATTCTTTGCTCCACTAGATCTACCTTCCCTTGTGCTCACTGGGTAGGTGTAAAATTTTGTCAATCAGAAGCACTTGGTGTTGGAAAATTAGTGAAAGTTTTAAAACCCATGAAGAAGAGTTGACGAGGACCAAGGTCACGAAGCTCACAGTATAGAGGAGTCACGATGAAAAGTGCAGAAGCCCCTAAACACCAGATCCAAGTCCGCCTGAAGAAGAGAAGCAAACATCTGAGACAACTCACTCTTGGTGAACATGGCAACCAGATTCTCTAGATAACGCTTGCTTCTTGTTTGTTGCTGTAACTCATTTTTCTTTTCTGCTTTTCTGTCAAGATTTGCATCCTCCGCTACTAGACCAGTGAACCCTTCCATCTCAGGTCATGAAGGGCAAAGATCAGTCGGACTCGGTGAACCAACGGGTCACCGGTTTAATAAAACCCGGCCGAGTTACACAGGTGATATGCGTCCAGCATATGATGCTTTCTAAGTTAAAAGAGGCAAGGAATTAATCATAAATGTGTGAAAATAAGTCATAAATGCAAAAAATATTGATTATTCCTTTTCAATCATTCTCTCACTCAATTTATGCATTTTAATAGCAGGAAACACCAAAATGAAGTGAAGGAGAGAAGCTAAAGTTTCTCCAGCTAGCGCGTTTTGCGCGGAGCATGGCGCAAACCGCGCCATTTTGACCAATATGCTTCTGTATCTCCGCGCGATTTGCGCGATGAGTGGCGCAAATGGAGCCATCTTGCAGTTTTCTTCTTGTTTCTCCGCGCAAATTGCGTGGCTGCTGGTGCAAATTACGTGGGCGATACTTATTATTTTTAATTTGATGCAAATTACACAAAAGAAGGGCCCAATTGGAGAGCAATTAAAAGTAGATTTTCTCAAAACCTAATAAAAGGATCAGAAACAGAAGAAGGAGACGCTTTTTGACGACAAGGAAAAGAAAGATAACAAGGAGAGTGAGAATTCTTGGGACCTTCTTGAAGTTTCAGAGATTCGAACGATCAAGACTGAAGATTTTCATCTTCTTTCTCTTCTTTAGGTTTTGAAATTTATTTTCTTTTGTATTGATTTTGTCAGACATGAATATGTCTGGCTAATATCTATTATTGTGGTAAGGGTCACAACCTTTGATGTGAACCCCTTGTAGTTTGGTTAATTTTATGTTTATTTATTTAGATTGAATTTATCTTGCTTTATTCTTCATCTCATAGTTCTTCTAGAACCGATCAATCAAGTATTGCGAGGGTTAGGGTTTTCAATAGGGATATTGGGATTCTAAAACCTGACAAAAGGTAAGATAACTATTCATGTACGCTCTAGAGATAGGCTACATGAATAGCAAATGTTAAAGATTCACTGATTCTAAGGTTTAACTTGAAAAGGAATTTCTAAGGGATTAGGATTCTAATAGAGTTAATAAGGTTAAAGTCGCTAAAGAATTAGGGTTTAACTAATTATATAATTAAAAGATGACGAATCATTTGATCAATTGAATAAGTAAACGTAAATGTAATCCAAGTTGCAAGGTGGGGATCATAAAGGTGTTTGTCGTCTCTTTATCGCAATATTTTCTCAAATATTTTCTCTATCTTTAATCTTTTGTTCTTGAGTTTCTAAAAGAACCTTTGAATTAATTACATTTTCTTGAATTGTTCTCATTATTTCACAAACCAAAATTGTCTTCAAACCATTTTTATTAATCCAACAAGAGAGGAATAATTATAATAAATTCGGTGCCTCAATCCTCGTGGAGACGATACTCTACTTACTCCTTTTATTACTTGGAACGATCGGTACGCTTGCCGATTTCGCA